TGACGCGCACGCTCGCCGATATCGTGAGGCCGCTCGTCAACTCGGGCATGAACCCGAACAACATCTCGAACCTGCTCGCCGAGACGAAGGACCTGGCGCTCACGCGGAGCCTGCTCAACGCGACGGGCGCCATCTCCGACGCCACGGCGCCGGGCCAGCACACGCTCGCGACCGCGCTGAACCGCGCGAACCTGGGCAACTTCGTCGACGAGGTCATGAAGTTCCAGACGTGCTCGCCGGGCCACAAGCTCGTCCGGCGCTTCGTGGTCGACGCGTCGGAAGCGGTGTGCCACTCCCAGTTCAGCTTCCGCGAGAAGAAGGTCGGCGGCGCGATCATCGCCATCGACCACACGCTCAAGACCCTCAAGGGCCAGAAGGTCGCCCAGGAGAAGGTCTCGAAGAACCGGCTCACGGTCTGGTCGAACGAGCTGGGCGCGCCGATGATTGCGCTGTCCACGGCCACGACCTCGATGGACGACGATGCCTTCGTCGCCGCCGCGAACTGCTACGGCACGCTCCTCGTCGACGGCCGCGCGCCGCCGAAGCTCTGCTTCCTCGACAACCCGGCGAGGGACGCCGGCGGCGTCCTGCGGCGCTTCGACTCGCTCAAGGACACGTCGGCGCCGGAGAAGTTCTCCTGGTCCGGGCCCGTGGTCTGCATCGACGACGCGGCGGGCGACGCGCGGGCGCTCGCGGCTCTCCGCGACGTCCGCCGCGTCGCGGTCGACATGGAGTGGCGCGCGCAGCCGCTGTCCGACGTGAGTCTCGTCCAGATCGGCGTCAAGGACACCGTGTACCTCTGGCGCGTCAAGGACTCGGTCCCCGCGGGGCTCGCGGCCATCCTCCGGAACGAGGGCATCGAGAAGATCGGCGTCAACTTCCAGGGCGACATCACGCGCCTGACGAAGCAGTACGAGGGCGTGGAGGTCAAGGGCGAGATCATCGAGCTCTCCGACCTTGCGAACGACACGCTGAAGAGCCAGAAGCGCCGCTGGTCCCTCGCGGACTTGGTGATGGAGCTCCTCAACCGGACGCTCGACAAGGAGCTCGGCGGCGGCGGCCGCTACGGGCGATG